CCCTGTGGCGGGGGCAGGACATGGTAACATAGCTCTGTATGGTACAGGCAATCCCTCTGTGTCCCTTCACCTACTCACGTTACCCACAACCTCCAGCTGCTTGTCCCACCCCGGGCCCCAGAACCCCAATACCAAGAAAAAGGGCTGCTTGATTTTAATTTTTGCTGCCCAGAGCAGGGCTCCTCTGCCACTGCTCACCCAGGGCCCTTTGCTCACACAGTGGGCAGGGACTGCAGGAAACAGGTTATTAGCATAGCAGCCTCCATTCACAACTCTGCTCCTACAAGCCCTTCAGGGTCCTGTGGTTCAGCTGTGGCCATGGCAAAAGGATGGTGGGCTGCCCTCTGCTCTCCAATGACTGCAGACCTGCCAGGAGTTCCCTTGTAGTACAACTATAGCTGCCATAGCAGTCCCCAGCCGAGGCAGGAAGAGGGATGAACCTTTCCTCTCTGTCTCAGAAGCCTGTGAACATCGGCTTTCGCAGCTGTGTCAAGACCCCATGCCCAGAGGCCTCTTTACAGCTCTCACTCAACTCACCTTAGATCTTCAGACCCATAGGCCAACTTTGTGTCTCACTCCTGACATCTGAACTTGAGTCTCTGATGGCACTTTCAACAAGTGTCCAGCTCAAGCTTCTCTCCTATCTCTGGGACTTCAACACTAAATGCTCTCAGTCTGAGGTGAAGGGGAATCCTATGCAACAAGCTGCATGTCCTGAACACTAGCCACTGTGGGATGCACTTGAAGATGTCTGTGATAATCAGTATCTCCTTCTCATGTTGGTGCCACCTCTACAGGATGCCTTCCCAATACCAGCAGAAGCACACTGGAAATGGCCTGTGGAGCTGGAGGATTCAGTTTGTAATTGTGTATCTGAGCCTGTTTAGAAAGTTACCAGCAAGAAAGCACTTCTGGTTGTGGTTTCAAAGCAAAGGCTGTATCACTACTGTATCCGCTGGGTCTTTCTGTTCTAACCGGGCCTGGCTACGTTGTTGGGCTTAAACAGATCCCCAGCCCCTGCCCCTTGAGCACCAGCAGTGGCCATTTGGTGCGGCAGGACCGAGGGCTGTCCGGCTGCCCGGGGGCAGGAGGGTCTCTGCTTCCCGGCTCCCTGGGCATAGCAGAAAGGCGCTGCTCCTCGCCGGGAGCCAGCGGGGCCGGAACCGCTCCTTCCCGGGCACGGTCGGACACCGCCAGGGCTCCGGTCGCGAATCCCGTCCCGCCGCCGCCACCGTCGCGGGGGATTTCTGTCTGCGTCTCACAGGCGGTGCGGGAGTCAGCGGCAGGTGAGGGACGGGAGGAGGATTCTGCCCGGTGAGCGGCTCCCGATGCGCGTCTGGGACATCTGCGATGGGGCTGCGGGCCTTAGGCGGGCCCGATGCCGGTACCGGGCGGTACGGAGAACCCTTCCGGGCCGGAACCGGAAAGGGCCGGGATCCGCCAGGCGGCACCGGCAGGC